TTAGTCTTCTGCATGTGTTTTTCTCAGCACCATTTGTTAAAGAGGCTACCTTTCCTCCAGTGTGTTTTCAATCCTTTCATCAGAAATTAGCTTAATGTACCTGCAGTTCTTTCTTCATCTTCTATTCTATTCCATTGATCCGGATGTCTGTTTTTGTGCCAAAACCACGCTACTATTTTTGATGGTTTATAGTGTAACATCAAGTGAGATTGTGGTGTCTCCTGCTTTGTTTTTGTTGCCCATATGATGTTGGCAGTAGGTTTATAATAAATGACTTTTATCAGATTGAGATAAGGTCCTTCTGTAACTATTTTTTCCAGATTTTTTACCAGGAATGAATGTTGGTGTATATGTGATCTTTTATGTCCTATAGTGCCTATTTTATGAAGTTTTGTGCACTGGTATTTGCTGTGTATATATTTACCATTGCTTTGTTTCCTTACTGTATAGTGACCTTCTTTGCCTCTTCTGATCAGTTTTATCCTGAAGTTTACTTTTTCTGAGAATGAAATTGTCACCCCTGCTTGTTTTGGGGGTCCTGGTGCATGGATTATTGTTTTCCTTCCTTGATTTTTAGTCTATGAATTTCTTTTCAGCTTAAATAAGTTTTTTATATGTAACAAGCCATTCAGCTTTAACTTTTTTTGGTACCAGGAATCGAACTCAGGACCTCGTGTTTGTGAGGCAGTTGGCAGCACTACTGAGCTAAAACCCCAGCCTAGGCTTTGTCTTTTTTCACCCAATCTTCCAATCGGTGTCTTTAATTGGGGAGTTGAGCTCATTTACTTGGAGAGTTATTAATAAAATGTATTGATTTATTCGTGTCATTGCATTATTTTTCTATTGTTAACTCCTTTGTTTTGCCCTTTTTGTTTAAAAATCCTTCCTGTATGGTATATTCATTCCATAAGACTTTTTGTCTTTGTTGGCTTCATTTCTCTGTCTAGGTCCTTCTTGAATATTTTTGGAGTGCCGTGTTGGTGTTCCTGGATTTCTTAAGGTGTTCTTTTTCAGGGAATGTCCTTATTTCTCCAGTGAATATACAAGATAATTTTGCAGGATATAAATCTAGGTTGAAAATTGCTTGCTTTTATAGCTTGAAACACTTCCCTTCAAGGCCTCCTAGTCTTTAAAGTTTGTGTTGAAAAGTTCATTTATGATCCTAATGGGTTTACCCTTATAAGTGATTTTTTTTCCCCTTTCTCTGACAGCATTTAAGATGTCATTCTCAAGTTGGACTTCTGGGATTTTGACTATGATGTGTCATAGAGAGCTTCTCTTTTCATCATAATTATGTGGCATTTTGTAAGCCTCCCTCACCTGTATGTTGAGTTCTTTCCTCATGCTTGAAAAGTTTCTACTGTGGTTTCTATGAGATTTGTTCTATGTGTGCTGTCTTGTAATTTCTCTCTAACAACAACTATCCCTAGGTTGCCATTTTTAATGTCTTCTAGCAACTGATTGTGAGTTTTGTACATGTCGAGGTAGTGAATATTTATCTATCTATATATGGTATGAAGGTGGAGGAGAAGTGAGGGGAGACAGGGATGTGTAACATAAGAGCAAAGAGATTAGAACGGGCAGGAAGGAAGGTGAAAAACAGAACAGAGAAGAAAGACCAAGCAGAATAAAGGAATAAACTTGAGAAATATAAATGAAAAATGAAAAATAATACTGATACAGAAACAAGAATAGAATGAAAGAGAAAAAGAAAAAAGGAGAGAGCCCAGAAAGACATCCAAGCAAGAGAACACACCAAACACCCCTACATGTCCACTCTACTACACAGCCAGAGTGTACACCCAGTTCCCTTCATGCTGTAGCTGCAGTCTGTTTTCAGGAAGCCAGGCCAGTTTCCCCTGCCTGTGGGCTGCTTCAACACCTCTCTGGAAGCAGTGAAAACCATCAGTTTCTCCACACCCATCTTCTGGTTGCAAGTCATGCTTTTGGCATGGGTAACACCAGACCTTTTTCTCTGTCCCAAGGTCCAACCACCTCAATTAATTTGGAAAGAGGAGGACGTGAAATAATTTGCCCAACACCTGATTCTCCTTCATCTTCTGCCAGTGATCTCCCACTCCCGTTCCCCTTGCTGCCAGACAAATCCCATGTTCGTCTGTGTTCTCTTTCCAAGGGCTTTCTGCCTGGTATCACATCACCAGAAGTTCTCTGCTCTAGCTAGCCCTCTCTGTTCCTCAGCATTCAGCTCCCAAACTGTCCTTGACTCAAGAGCTACACTTTCCAGAACTTGTTGTGATCCCTGAGCTTGACGGAGTGTCTCCTTTCCCTATGAGGGAGGGTAGGCAGTGGTTAGGATTTCCCACTGGCTCAGGTCTTTCCAGTGTTTTGGGAAATAACAAGAAAACCTCCACTCTGGGATTACTCTGTTCAGTCCATCTCCCTCCCCAGTGCCTCCGGGGATGTGATGGTAGTCTGGGCACCACACACAGTTCACGGTGTTCAGTCTCTCTTGGCCTAGTGTGGGGGACTTTGTTTGTTGATGCTGTATGATAGGCAGTGGGTTGGATGCCACTGGTGCATGGCATTCTTCAGTGTTTGGGAGGATAATGGGAGGGCAGATAGTCCATTTCTGTGTTGCGATCTCTCCTTTTCTCTGGTTGCCATTCACGGTTTCCCTGTGGTCCACCATTTATTCCCATGGACAGCTTATCCCAGGAGTCTGGCCTCTCAGTGCTGCCTTTTTCTCTCAGGGTGTTAAAACCATTCCTTAAGTGGCATGCTCCATGTTTAAAGGGTGGACGGTGAGCCATGGACCGGGGTCAGCACTCCCTCCCTTTTCAACAAGGCAGATGTTTGGCTTGATCTAGAGAATCAGTCTTTCAGATGGATCTTCTGCTTCTGGGTGTGACTACCTCCGCCATTTAAGAATACCTGTATTCTGGAGTGATTCTTCTCCAAGTATCTCCGACAGCCTTGCTTCTCTGACTGGCCACCCCGGAATGTTGAAGCTTCTTATTCGATATAGTTCCATTTGTCTACCTTTGCTTTTGGAGTCTTACCCAACACCCCCCTCCAAATGCTGTTAGACTAATGTCTGTGGGTGTTCCTCTTCCAGTAGTCTCAGAATTTCAGGTCTTGTATTTAGGCCTGTGATCCATTTTGAGGGTTTTTTTTGGGATATGGTGAGAAATAGGGGTCAAATCTCATTCACAGGTAGGTGGATATCTGATTTTCCCAGGACGTTGATTAAAGAGCCTGCCCTTTGAAAACTGTATTTTTGGGTCACTTTTTGAAACTTGGTTGGCTGTTGATGTATGGATTTATTTCTGTGTTCTCTATTCTGTGGTCTGTCTCCATTTTTATGCCAAAATCATGCTGTCTTGGTTACTATAACCCTATAATATGTCATGAGCTCAAATACTGTGATGTTTCCAACTTGTTCTTTTTGCTTGAGATTGCTTTTTCCAAGATCTGTTGTGGTGCCACACAGATTCTAGGCTCTTTTCCCCCCTATTTCTTTGAAGAATGGGGAAAGTTTTGCTCTACTGTTTAAAAAATAATCCTCTCACCAGGACTGATGGGGGCGGGGTGGTTCCCACAAGAGCTACATTAATTTTTTTTTAAAAGAATTCCAATGACCTAATTACCTTGCAGTAGGCTCCACCTCTCAAAAGTTCCCCATCACCTCGCACCTGGAGACACAGATTTTCAGTCCATGAACCCTTGTGTAGGGGGCCACTGGCAGATGCATCAAACCCCAGGCATCTGAGGACATCAGAGTGCACCTGAGGGCACACGTCTGTCATTTAGCACAGGCACGTGATGGAGATAATAATAATAACAACAACAACAACAATAACAATAATATAATAAATCAGCACAGGTGACCATGTAGGTACCACATGGCTATGCAAGATTGTGAGGCCGGTTTGTCTAACTGTGACTCAGAAAAGCTGATAAAGACATGCAGCTCTTGAGCTCCAGGGCTGTAGCTCCAATTCTCATGCTCTAATGCTGCCCTGATGCAGGAAACAAAGGTTGGTTCTTGCTGTTTTTGTAATCTCTGCTCAGTGTCTATTCTTTTCTTCGGGAACCTCACCTGACCGGACCTCCCTTCAGCCCACTGGCCCAACACCTTAGTACACACGCAAACCGTGTTCAACCCTTAGCAACACCTTAGCAAGGACAGTACCTGTTATAGCAAAATGGCAAGACAGAAGAAAAGGGCTTTGAGTTTAGGAGTGGCAAATTGTGAGAAGGCAAATTTATAGCTAAACTAATGGCAGACAAGGGATAGTTCTTTTATTGGTACATTTTAGATCTACACAGTGGTAACATTCATCATAGGGAATTTGTACCTATAGATGGTATATCTCGCTTCTTCTTTTCTCTTTCAAGGGCTAGTTTTAGCAAGGTATATTCTGTAAATCCCACTGGATGTAAGGGTTTCCAAGTTGTCACTAATGATTTATTTCTGTGCTTCCTGGTAGAGAAGAGATATTGGATATCTTTAGAGATAAAAGGCCTGGTTTGGGGCAAATAGGGGAAAGGAAGAGATATTTTCTTGTATCTGCCTCTTCTCGATAGCCTTCAGTTCAAAATAATTCTTTGAAGTGGCACGTTCTAGAGTGGCAGATAATGCTACCCATCATAGCTATAATGTAACCAGTATAGACCATAGCATAATGATGGATATAGACCACTCTAGATATGATGCACCTATTCATGCCATAGTTTTAAGGATGATAGTATGCATGGCATCAGAAGTAAGTATTGACTGATGCCAAATATAGGTAACGGAGGGGCAAAAAGAAGAGGAAATCAGTTGTCTTTTAAAAACCAAAAGCAATTGCAATCATTTTTGTGAAATGTTTGTTATTGATGTCTAGTTGTCAAATGGCACAATAACAGTTATTGTCAAAACCTGAAGGGCTGCCAAGCAAATGAAGGACTTGTCAGATTACCTTTGCCACGCATTACATTTGACAACATCAGTTAACTCTAGATAAGTGGTCTCAGTCTTCGTCATGTGTGGGCTCATTGTGTTCATAACAGATAAATTCGGAAGGCTCAGTGATTTCACACCATGCAAGCTTATTTCTTACTTCTTTACTGTTCAACGTGGGACTCCTGTATGGGTGGCTGGCTGTGGCCTGAGCGGTTTCAAGGATGTGGCCTCTTTCCCTGCCATTGACAATTTTCAAAACTGCCCTGGGGAGGAAGAGTGGAGAGGGGTTAGGAGGCTATTAAATTTAATTAGCCAGATGAAAGAGCATGGCTGGTCACCCATGGGAAGATTTTTAGGGCAAGGTACTGGGATGCAAGACTTTATTTCTGCCTGTCATACTTTGGCTGGGGTTCCATCACAGACCAGACTAACCACAGAAAAACTAGTAAATGTAGCATTGGAGCTTAGAAAATGATACTTCCAAGTATGATGCTTGGACATGCTGAACACTTTGAGTTACAGGAAATTGGAAGGTCTCCATAGGCGCCTTAGAATCAAATTCTCTAACTTTCCCGTTTCTTCTCAGGAAGCACAAGGAGAGTGCTATCTGAAGTTTCCTTATCTGACTGAAGGAAGTTCTTCTAAAAGAAATACAATTATCTGGTACTTCCTCCCTTAAACCTAAATAGCCAGGGAAGATAAACCCTGGGAAAAGAAGACTAAAAGGTCTTCACCTTTTGTACTGAATACATCACCACATCATTTATCCTTCTGAATACTGTCGCCTATGAGACTTTGTATACTCAGACTCCTTTGTTTGTGGTGGGTAGCTTGTTAACATCTCCCCAGACCCCTGGAAACTTGCCCCAGGCTACAGCCTGTTCCTTGAAGACCATTGATTCTAAAAATCATTTATGACCCCTCTCAAATGACACCTTCTCACCCATTCCCCTTTCCTCTTTGAAAAGAGTATTTAAGATTTAACCATCTGGCCCTTTGAATTTCAGATTCTGATATGAAGTATCATTTGAAACTCATTTCCCAGGCAAGTATGGCTCCTATGTACATGTACCTGCTAATAGATTTGTATGCTTTTGCTCCTGTTAATCTGTCTGTTGTCAGTATTTCTTTTTCTTTCCTTTTTTTTCAGCAGAATCAAACCTTCAGAGGAGGAGGGGAAATTCTTTTCATTACCATGACCAAAGTCAGAGCAGGCTGCACTATGGAGCTGGCATTTATCCCTTATAACTGGCTATAATGTTCTTGGAACTGGACCAAAGCCTATGTGACTCACAGTGAAGTAGGAAACAGTGACGACCCTGGACCAATGACTCTTCAACACAATGATAGGAGCAAACAGTGACTTTTAATGATGCTGGCGGCTCAGCAAGTGACTCCTGTTGATCTTAGAGCCCCAAATAGAAGTCTTTGCTCCCTTCTGTACCTCTTTTCACATCTACGAGGCTTAATTTCCCTGGAGTTTCCCTGGGAACACAGCACACAGGATTCACGCGAAGCAGAGCAGTGGAGAGCGGGGAAAGCAAAGAGTTCTGTCAGGACTTTCTGAGTCCAACCCATCATTGCTCCTGTGGTGACAGATTACAGAAGTTGTCACGGCTGCTCAGGTACATTCTACCAAGTGCATAGTTACCTAGTTAACCCACAGTTGCCTGATAGCACAGTTAACCCAGAGTTGCCTAATAAAACGGTTAACCCATAGTTGCCCAATTCCATATGGAGGGGTGGCTTCCTTTCTCAAAGGAACATGTCAGATGGCACCATGGGCTAGCAAGGCTTCTGTGCCAATGGAAGAGATCCAAGTCTTGATCTGTGAAGCTTCATGGCTCCTAGCGAGATAACACTGTAGCCCAGGACCACTATGGGGCTCCAATCCGCATTCCATCCCCAGAGCTACTTCTCCCTTAATGGTCTCAGTAGCTTCCTAGTTAAACCTCAACACACCTTTGGTCAGTTCTGCTCCTTCTGCAAGTCTGTCCGATCCTCCCTTCTACAAGCCTTGCCTCTGTCAGCTGATAGCACTGGATGTCACATGAGTCCCTCTACCCTGTTCTTACCCATGCCTGTGTAATAAGTAAATACTGACAGACCTGGTTATTTGTGGTCCTTGCCACATCCTTGTGATGCTTGACCTCATCACCACATGTTCAGCGTGGCCCATCCTAGATCCTTGATATCTGCTTAAGTCTCTTTTCTGTGTCTTTCTTTCACCTTGCAGAAAATTGGGGCTCAAGGCCAGGGACCCTCTACTACATCGTCTATGTCTGTGTGTAAGAAAAAGAATCTACTTCTTGGCACCTCACAATCCTACATAGAGGTTCTTGGATGAGGTCCAAATAACATCTCAGTTATATCCTGCAAATAATAATATGTGGGCGGAAGGGGGCTTAGGGAACTCCAGGGGTCTATGGACCATGCTGGAAGGTTTTTAGCCTTTTCTCTGACAGCTAATATTTCCTGGTTATGTGATGAGCTTGCCAGGGGTAGAGGATTATTGCATTTCCATTGGAGGAAGTTCCCTCGGTCAGACAAAGGAACTTCTGAGAGAGCCTCCCTGTGCTTGAAGGGAGAAACAAGAGGGGACTGGGAAGCCCTAGATCCTAAGGCAGCTATGAAGGCCTCCTTTTTTCCTTTCGTTTGAAGTGCTCAGCATTTCAAGGGGTCTTACTTTAGGGTGTTATTTTCTGAGCCCAACAGTAGGAAGGAGAGATGAAGCCTACTTTAACGCTTCTTGTGGCCAGCATCACTCCCTCAGCTACTCGCAGGGACTTGGGTCCATGGACAGTAGAAGTGCCAGGTCATTTTTGGTGAGGATATCCCAATTTCTGAACACTGACCTACACCTGCTCCCACACTTGAAACCTCCAACTCAGGAGCACTGAAGCCCAGGTGCTCCAGGGGGCTGCCATGCATGCACAGAGGAGCTCAGAATCAGGCGTCTCTGAGGTAACCAGCTAACACTCCCCTCCTCTCCAAGTCCAGGGGCCTTTGCCGTGCCCAGTGAGAGATAGCTCAACCTTGCCAATGAGGAAAGACGCAAAGACACTGGCACTGCCTTCCTTACAAGCTGTGGGCGCAGTGAGGGGCAGAGCCATAGGAATGAGGCTCAGCTCTTCCCTGGAGAGGCTGGGAAGTCACAAAGGCTGGGGGAGGAGTCACCGAGTCAAACAGATTGGCATCCTTGTTTTTGGGTCTACACTGAAGCTGAAGAGGAGGATAGAACTTTCTTCCTGTATCCCTCAGACCCCAGGGTAGCAGACGCCCTCCACAGCTGTACCTTCACGTGCAGGTCAGTGTGTAGAACTCAGACGTGATATAGTCAGTGGCACACTTTCACAGCAGTCCCAGGTGAGAGGTGTGTTGAGCTGAGCGGCCAGTGGGGTGGGGGGGAGTTGAGCACAAGTTGCTGCAAAGGAAGGTGGAGAGCAAGGTTGTGGCAAAGGTTTTCCCTCTACTGTCAATTTTGTTTTGTTTTGTTTTGGTTTGTTTTGGTACGGGGGATCGAACTCGGGACCTTATGTTCCTGAGGCAAGCAGTGGAACCACCGAGCTAAATCCCCAAGGCAAGGTTTTCCTTCTTAGGGCTAGAGCAATGGAGAACATGACCTCCTAGGAATGGGAGCATGCAGTCCAGGAAAGGAACAGTTATCCTCAAATACTGACCTACGAGGAAAGGACATCCAAAATATCACGGAGTGATAGCAGATAGAATTAAACATCCTAGGTTTAAAAGCCCCAGACCCGCTGACTAGTTATTAACATTTTGAAATCATAAGAGAGGATTATAGCAGCCTCTGCCCCAGATGGCTACACTTGCATGAACTATTTCATATTTGGGGGTAGTTTTTTTGTATGATTCAATAATATGTGACAAATACATATTTCTCAGTTTTTCAAAAGCAAGCAGTAGACTGGTCAAAAAAAAAGAAAGAAAGAAAGAAAGACTGGGCATAAATAAGTCAAAATGTTAATATAGTAATTCCAGGTTGTAAGAATACTAATGATTATTCTTTCTTTTAAGACTTTCTGTATTTTTTAAGTTCCTATAGATAAAATGAAAGGAACAAAAGTAATAAAAGAAGCTCAAACTCGCTGAAGGTTTTAAGGTTTCATAAGTGTAGTTCCAGTTAATCTTCACAATAGATAAAAGGGACACAGCATATTTTTTCCCATTTACAAATAGGGGAAACTGATGCTAATGCTCTTAAACTCTTCGAGGTCACACAGAGGGTAAGTGAACGAATCTGAACTTGAACACAGGTCATTTGACTCTTGATTCTATGTTTCTGTGACTTCTTCTGCAAGAAAAGTCTATTTTTCTGATGGCTGATTATTTTTCTGTAATAGCACACATTAGAGGCAAAGCCACTAGGTGAGTAACAGCTGCAGATCCTTCAAGACAAGAAAAGGGTATGGTATTATACCAGATTAGGAGACAGGTGACTCAGGAGACAAGATACCTATCAGGGCTTGGCCAAAGACATGAGGAATCCTCAGATCAGATCTCATAAGTGGGCCCCTATTTTTAAAATCTCTCCTGCAGATTATCTATAATTCAGGAGTCTAGACATCATCATGATATGTCATCTGTGTAGGAAAGGCTTTTGTGGTCTTTAGTCTAGTTACTACTGCAGAGTTACAAAGTAACCCAAAAGTTAACACTTTAAAACACCCATATTGATTTACTCATGGTTTCTGGAACAAAAGTTTGGCAAGGGCAAGACCAGGCTGTTCTCACTTGGGGGCTCTCTTGTGGTTACAGTCAGAAATTAGCTGGAGTTGTAGTTGTCTGGGGACCCAACTGGGTTGGTTGTTCCAGAATGTCACATGATAAACAGCTGAGGCTGCCCATGGAAGTTGGATTCCCTACCTAGCGTCCAGCTTCCTTGTGGACCAGTGTCTCAAAAGAACAAGGTTGCAAGATCAGTTCTGACCTCACCTCAGAAGCCATGCAGCACACTTCCCCTGCTTTCTGTTGGTTAAAATGAATCATCATACAAACTAGATCCCCAGGGAAGGGAATGAGGCTTGATCTGTTGGTTGAAGAATGGCGATGTCACTTTGCAAAAGAGCCTGGGGGATAAGAAATAATGTTTCGGCCACCTCTAGAAGGTAAAATCCCTCCGGGTGTTTATTGCAATGCTTTCCAGTCTTTGTTACCTTATAACACATCGAAAGCGTGACATTGTATAAGGCTCATGACATACCATTTGGGAAACTCGGGCAGGCTACGATCAAGAAAGTGTCCTTTCCTTACTTCAGAGCGAGTATGCATTCAAGAGCAAGATTTCTCATGGGTAATTCTTAAGCTAATGGAAAAGAAACTCCCTTACTTTGATCCTCTATGCTCTAGGTGTCTCTGTTATGAAGATTTTTGTGTCCAAAAGCTTTGAGACAATTTTTCATCTTATCTATCTTAAACATTAAAGGAGAGAAAACGTGCATTCTTCAAGCATAGATCCAATTAAAAAGAATAATAACTGTAATGGATTGAACACCTCAGATATGTTAAAATTCAAGATTTCATAATGATTTCAAAACTGCAATGACAAGAGAAGTCATTACAGCAATTCTCAGAGGTTTGCAAGCTACTAGTTCATTTGGGAAAACTGGGAAATGCAAGGAAAGGACCAAAGGGTTTATCCTGCCTTTCCCATAGGGACTGCATTTCATGGTACGACGGTGGTTGATGTGCTGCCTCCCCACCACAACTCTACTCTTCCCTGCTCTGCCCTGTGGTTCTGAGGCTGAAACTTGTCAACATCTCTGAGGGTTCAAGTAGTGTAATGTTAAACTTTTGCCAGTAGAAGGTACTGGAGACACTGCAGTGGGAAGTTTCTCTTTCTGGCTCCAGATAACTTTCTTCCTTGTTCCTCAGCAGAGAGTAGCTCAGGAACTGTGGCAGCACCCCTGTGGGCAGTTTCCTGCGTGCCAGTCCTTAGCCTAAAATAGTTCAGCAAACTTCCCCACTATCCAGGGTCTCCAGTCATACTCTCTCCTCTCTCCACGGGGCTGGGGAGACCCTTTTCCAGTTTGTCATTTCCTGGAGTGTTCTGACTCAGCTGTAGAAATAGTGACAGTTCCCCATAGCTGTGATTCATATAATATTTAGTTTACTAATCTCTAGTAATAATTTCTTGTATTAAAATTTTCCTGCTCTAATCACTGTTTTTTTGTCTTCTGTCTGGATCCTGACGGATTCGCATGGTTACTGAATTAGTCTATTTTCTACTGCTACAATAAAATACCAAGGAGAAGATCACAGTTTTGGAAACTGAAACTCTATTAGCTGGTTTTCCATTACTATGACAAAATACCCAAGATAATCAACTTGGTAAGAGGAAAGGTTTATTTTGACTCAAGGTTTCAGAGATTTTGGACTCTGGTTGTCTGGTCCCAAAGCTTTGGGCCCAGGGTGAGGCAGCAGCTCCTCATGCCAGGAATGCAGAGCAGAGGAAGCTGCCCACCTCATGGCAGTCAGGAAGCAAAACAGAAAGAGAAAGGCATCGCTGTCCCAATAGCCCCTTCAAGGCACATCCCTGGTGACCTAACTTTATCCCACTGGACTCCACCTCGTAAAGGTTCACAGCTCAGTAGTATCACAGGCTGGCCTCAAGACTTAACACACGGCACTTTCGGGGAGGCATTTGTCCAATCACAGCAAAGTTGAAAATGGGGTGAGGCCTTCAGTTTGCTCTCTGGTAAGGGCCTAATGGTGGGTGGCATCGCAATGGCGGGAACAGTCAAGAGCAGTCACATGATAAGGTAGGAATCCAGAGAGAAGGGAGGGCTGTCTTCTGGTCTTGCTCTTCTGTAGCAACCTTCCAGAGAGATGTAGTCAGATCTAGTCCCATGAGGACTCTATCAGTTCTCTCCCAGGTCAGCCCCAGCCTACCCCGTGACCTGTTTCCCAGAGGTCCCACCTCTTACAGGTCCCATCTCCTCCTACATTGTCACACTGAAGAGCAAACTAGAGCAGCAACCAAATACTTGATGAGGGAAACCTGTATACAATCCGGCCAGATAATGAATGTGTAAGGAATGAGAGAATTGGAATATTTTATAGTGAAAAAACTAGAGCTAGATGGTGATCATCAGTGGTGGTGAAAGCCAGTAGGTGAAAGGTTGCTAGGGAACCTGGGAATGAATGAATGGATCAGACCATACTACTGCCCGAAACAAGGGGCAGATTTACTGTGAACTAGACTGGTGTAAGTTTCAGTGAGTCTCACATGGATTCCTTCTATGACCAGGACCCTAAGTTTATATTTGTAATTTTTTTTAAGAGAAGGAAAAATTTATTGAAAGATAGCTTCTGTTTAAGAGATACAGACTGGGACTGGAAAGTGGGTTGCCCTCCTATCCCACTCCTCAAAGGTGTTTTATGGGGCAAAGCCAAGAGATGAGGCGGGTACAAAGTGGGACAAAGCTGTAAGATCCAATTGAAAATCACAAGGTGAACGTGAGGTGGGACAAAACCGTGAACAACCAGTAAGATTAAAAAAAAAAAAAAA